AACTCTTCAATATCTGAAAAATGCACTAGAGCTTGACTACTTTAAACTCAAGTTGGGTTAGACCTTTTAAGAAAAAAAAAACTCTCATAACGTTTATTTCTCTATTTATAAGATTCGAGTTTAAAATTTTATTTAAAATAAATCCTTTTTTATTATTCATGCCAACATGTCTTTCGTAGTTTTTAAGTGTTTTACTATTATAAAAACTGCGTTTCATTTAATAATTGCTTTGAAAAGAGCTTAATACATCAATCTAACTACTAAATTATATCAATTAAAATTAATTTCTTTATAATAAATTAACACTTTTAATGAAATGTGTAAGAAAAGTGTTGTGAAAAAACAATTTCATAATGCAACTTATGTATTAAGATAAACATTTAAGAAAATTTAATTTAGGAAAATAATCATTGAATATGTACAAAAGTTTTTTTATTTTTGCAATTGATATTATAAAACATAAATTATTAAATGAGAAATTATCTAAAATATCAATGATCTTTCATCCAATATTTAAATTATATAAATTATGTAATTTAAATTTAACAATACTTTTTGATATATATAAAACAAGAGAAAAGAATGATAATTTAAACAAGTAAATAATTTAAACAAACTCACACAAATTTAAAATTAAAAATCATTCTTCTCCTCCACCAGCCAAAGAAAATAGAGTGATGATTTCCACGGGCTGAAATTGGAGAACCATCTACCTGGCAAACCGCGTATAGACAGACACACAACTGATTTTATCTCTTTTAATAAAAAAATATTTTTAATATTTAAACAAAAATATTATAATTATAATGTTATATATTATTATAAATATATAAAATATAATATATAATATATAATTAATTTTTTATTTAAATATTTGTTAATAATACCAAATATATATTTATTTAATACTATATTATGTTATTCAATATTCCATTATAATTCTAAACCCACTGAAACCTCACAATACTTGCATTTCCTTTCTATTCTGGCGTCTGTTGCCCTTCCTTTTCAAGAAACTAGCTTCCGTTGCCGTCTTTCTCAACAAGAGCTTGAGATGACGAGTGGCCAAGTAGTCGATCTGTTTCTTTGTTGAAAAAGATGACAACAGAAGCGAACTTGCACCGGAGAGATCACGAAGCAGATCCGGCGTACACATTAGTTTTTTTTGGCGATCTTATTATGTCCACGATCCAGATCTGCCTCAGGACTATCTCCAAATTAAATTCGGCAACAACCGATCGACTTTCGTCTTTAATGACTCGTTACTCCTGATCCTCAACCCCGAGACGACTCTCACCGACACACCATCACCACCTCCTCCATAGAAATCGTCTCATAAACGAAATTGGTTGGTTCTCCTCTTCGTTGTCTTTGATATGGGCGGTTAGGGCTTTGTGTTTGTGAAGCCGAAGATGAAAGAGAAATTGATAAATTAAAAATTTTGATTCTTCTAATGAAAACACAGGTCAGCCCTGCGCGTGTCTATGTGGCTAGCCACGACAGACTTTCAATTTCATCATGGTGATATAAGGATAGTTTTCTTATAAAATGTTTACATAATTTTTATATATTATTAAATAGATAAATATATTTAATATAATAAATTTTAAATAAAAAAATTAATTATTTAAATATAATATATAAAAATATATATAAATAATAAAAAATTATTTTATCATTTAAACTATATTGAATTGTAAAATAAAAACTATTAAATAAAAATGAAATCTTTAATATAAAAACTTTACTTCTATTTAATGATTAAAATGATGTAATTCAAAACCATTCGAATTGCATAATTTTTTTTTTTAAACTCATAATATAAACCCTCCATGTACGTTTTATGTACTACTTTTATATCTTGTGCCAACTGTCATTTTATTTGGAGTCGGCGGGGCAAGCTGCAACAGAGCTGCTCCTTGATTTCTCTCCAAGGTAGAGAAACGTTCCTGAATTCTATTTCTCTCCAATTATGCCGTTTTTTACTCCAAGAGAAATGGATGCTGGAAGAGAAACTTTACGAATTCTGCGGGCTTTGATTATTTTGGTGGAGCGCACTCGGCGGAGCCATTTTGAGCGTTTAAGAGACAGGGATGATTTGGTAAAGGAGTTACCTCGAATAATTCTGCAAGTGAAGAGAAGATTTGGCGGTCGGAATGCATACTTTGTGCATCCTGAGGAGCCATTTCGAGCTTCCAAGAGACGGTGGTGATTTGGATATTTTGGAGAAGGACTCAGCAGGGAAAATTTGGAAGCTCCGTTGTTGCTCTGCTCGGGTTACCCGCAAGCCTGTTATTTTCGGAGGATGGGTCTTTTTCGTTCCAAACCAAATGTCTTCAAAGCAACGATCAGCTTGTTTTCTGTGAGACGATTACCGGAGCATCGTCGGCCTAGGCTCCATTATGTGGATGGTAATTAGCTGGAAATCAGCGTCTTGTTTCATGAAACATAATGGAAGAGAGTCTTGTGTTTTTTTCTTTTTTTTTTTTGGGGGAGGGTGCAAGGAAGAGAGTCCCGTTTCATACGGAGTAAACCCTTTCTTTTGGGGGGGGTAAAATCCTGGTTTCTTAATTTCAATAAATATGTGAGATATTTGTTCGCGCCTTGCTTTGTAAAATATTTCTCCCATTTCTCAAAAGTTTTTCCCCTGTTTTTAAAAAATGTCAATTTTAATTACATCACAGCAGCCATCACCTGCGATTTGTAATATTTTCTCATGAAATTGTTGTAACAATGCTGATGCATGAATCACTTGATTAAATAATTCGCCGTTTGAAATTAGTTGTTTTATTCTTTAAATAGAGGTGTTAAAAATTGCCTACTTTCTAATTTTAAGGAACATTAAAAGTTTTTATTTATATTTTATCTTTATCATTTTTCAAACCCCTACTTATCTTAAAATTTAAAGGGAAATGTTGTTTATAGTGGGCATTGACTTAATTTTAAGTTTTATATGAAAGAAAATGTTCTAATTAAATTTATGGTGAGTGTATCAAAATTTTTTATAATGTATATAATATATTTTTTAATAAAATAGTTGAAATATTAAGCTATTCTTAATATTAATTAAATTAAATTATTATAATTTTTTTTAAATTGCCTCTCCTAGTACACTCACAGCCTTCTCCGTCATTGAGGCTGAGTGTATTTTGGTTAATTTTGAATTACTGGTGGTTTAAAATTAAATGTTTTATTTTTAGTACTTTAGTTAAAAATTTAGTTCACTAAAGTATTTCACTTTAATTAATGGGCTTAACCCCCTATTTAGCCCTTTAACTTATAGATTTTAAAATTATTAATTCTTCACCTAAAAGCTTAAAAGTATTAATTCCTAAACAATGCAATTTGGGGGAATTCCCCTTTATTTAATGGATTTGAAGTGCACAAATTGCAAAAAATTCTCCCTAAGTGTAATTTGGGTTCATCTGTATCACACTTAATAAAAAAAGAAAAAGAAAAAGAAAAAGTCAAAGTAAGATAGATATGCTGATGCGTTACTAATTAGGATAATCCTAATTAAAAGTCTGATGTATACTTCAAATCCATTAGGGGGAATTTTCCTAAATCACATTGTTGAAGGATTAATATCCTTAAGTTTTTAGATGAAGGATCAATAACTTTAAAATTTATAAGTTAAAGGGCAGTTAAATGGGGGGTTAAGCCTAATTAAGGATTAAAGATTAAAATATTTTAATTTGCTAAATGAACCATGTTAACTAAAAAAAATCAAAATTTTAGTAATCAAATTGAAAATTTTTCATTAATATTTGATTTAGTTATTAAAATATAAATTATTAACCCAAAATTTTAACCATTAATGTTTAATCAAAACTTCTTTTTTTTTTTTCTTTAATGGGGCACCAACTTTGTTAAACTCTTATTGATATGGATTTGGTTGTCAATTAGTAAATTAAAAATGTCTAACCCAAAATAATACTTATAAAACTAAAATGATATGAGCCCTTAATAAACTATTTATTTGACTTGGTTAGTAAAAAAATAATTATGGTGCAATCTGTGTTACATAAATTGTATTATTTTTAATTATTAATGAAGAGTATCTGTTTCTTCTATCAATAATTAAAAGTATAATTACTGTAAAAGAAATAAAAAATAAAAATTTTAACCTATCAAAAATTATAATATTTAATAATATTATAATTTAAATAATTAAAAAAACTTATTTCTCTCCTTCCATTTCCTTCACCAAGACCAAACATACCATACTATCCTACAAGTGGGGACTGCAGCTGGCGCTTCTGTCTGCAAAATTGATTGGCTAGAGAAACGGGTCGAAAAAGTCGGACAATTAACTTGCACCGTGCACGACTTTGGAAAAGTTGGTGAAAGAAACAGCTAAAACGAATCTATAGAGGTCGGCGTGAATTCGAACAAATGTCGCGTGAATTCGAACGATTATCGCAAGATTTCGCACGATTCTTCTTGTTTTCTGGTCAAATGATGTAGCATGATTCACACGATTGTCACAAGCAATCGCACGAGTCTCGGAAGTTAAGTCTCTATAAAACATCAAGCCAGGTAGATGCTTCATCAAACTGAAAAAAGAAAAAAAAAGGAAGAAAATTGCAGGTCTAGGTTATTGCTAAGTCCAGTCACTTCAACAGATGGGGAACGAAGGACACAGTGGAGGTAAATCTATGCCATCTTTGGGAGATGCTCGTAAATTTTAGTTTGCGAAAAAATAATAATAATAATAATTACTTAATCTTTGTTGGGTTTTCTCCGTCTCCAATTTTCTAGCATTTTTCTCATTTATAGAAAGTGTTTAATTAAACTTTCTAACAGATTTTGATGATGGTTTATGAATAAAGTATAAACGCCTTACACAATTAATAATTTCATCTTCTCAATTCTGCAGCAACGCAAACCTGGGGAGCTTTTGAGAGTGTTCCACAACATGCCATATCTACTAATCAAGGCAGTGAGAAGGTGGCCGGAAGTCAACCGCCGCGGCTACAACGAAAAAGAAAGGTCGGTGAAATTAGTAATGAAGCTGATCCGCGTGCCAACAAAAAGGTTCAGGATAGAG